CTTGTTGTGGGCGCTCAATAAATATTAAACAATCATAAAAGAAACTGTTCTCAAAAAGTTTGAAATTCACAAGAATCAATGATATCGTTATTATCATTTAACATTTATTGAGGGTCAACAGCATGACTTAACATGTGCAAATAGGTCATTTTATCATCACATAATGAGAAAAAGATTTATACAGTTTGTGTTAACTAAACCTGCAGCATTACTCCAATGATTTCTAGATAGCTAATTGTTTCTTTTTGATAATTTTGACATATCAAGAGACATAAACACTATTACTGAAATAAATACTCTTTCAGAAAAATAATTACTCTTAGATATTATTAACATTCATTTGAAAGTATGGGATAAATAATTCACTATTCAATAATTACACATCACAGATTCAAAAGACACATGCACAAAGAAAACTCTAATTAGGTGGATGAGGACAGTGACAAACATACAAAGCACTTGTGTGTCACCTGTTCTTGCTGCAATTTAAAATCCTATTACAATTATTTAGAATACCATTGTTTACAGAACAGCATCAAAGGCAAAGACAAAGTGAATACCTTTATCTGAGCCTAAATTACTTTGCTTATGAATTGTGAAACATTTCTTAGCAGGATTGAATCTCCTACCACAGGAAATGAACTCTGATACATATATAATCTACACTCTCCAATTTTACTCTTAATATAATAATTTCCAAATGTGTTCAAATTTATTTTTGATGATTAATAGGCAATCAAATATTATTTAGTCTTTAAAAAATATTTGTCATGCTTCTACTCAACTGGACTTTGAAGTGACTTTTCATTCCTAAGTGAATAAAACTAAATATTCTGAAATACTCCTTTCAAATAAATTTTGAGATGCTGAAGTATCAGTAAGTGTTTATGCTAATAAAGTGTGATATTCCTTAGCAGTTGAATCTTAGGATCTAAAGTCTTCCTGGAGAAGTCTTCCTCTTTAGAAAAAAGGAACCTCTATATTATGAAGTAAGACACATACTGTGTAAAAACTCTGCCAAATACAAATTCTTTTATCTGTGAAAAAAGTGTTAGAGACTCACTTCTCTCCTTAATCATACACATGGGAAAGTTAAGGCTGAGGCTGAAGTGTTCTCCACTTAGAGACGTGTGTTGCCCTTAGCAGTTAATTATTTAACTTTCCCTTTCATTTTGTTTTTAGAAGAATTTCACAGCATAATAGTTGCAGTTACTAAAATTTAATTTTCAATATCTTTGTCCATACCACCATTCATCACATAATTTAAATAGTGGCAATTACAAATATCATTTAAAAAGTGACATAATGTGGAATATTTATTTATTAATTTTTATCTACTCATTCCAGTTTTAAGGGGGTAAAGGAAAAATTTAACCTCTAACATTTTAATGTCTAAAATTGTTTGCTACTTTCAATGTTGAAAGTCTTGTTTTGAGTTATAAAAATATTATTTTCATTACATGGTGTGTTAAAATCTGCATTACCTAGTATTCTTTTCTTCAGTAAGTTCTCTGTGTTCACTTTCAAGCTACAAGTATTTGTCGAACACTTATTGTGTTCAGGCCCTCCTGTAGGCTCTTAGAAAAAATGCTAAAGGAAGCCTCAAGGAATATCACACACAAAGATTAATGAGAGAAAGAAAAAGAAAGAAGATCTATAAGTGACTTAATTTATAACTACTCTTCTCACCTCTTCACTGTTGAACTTAAGTCATTTTAAAAGAAGAAAGTTTTAAAAAAGGAGATGTCATGGACTCCAGACCTACAATTCAGATTTTAAGGTTATGGTTTTGACTGGTTTTCCATGCCTCACAATGCTTCTGTGGAGTGGCCACTTTGCCTTCCACTCAGCTAGCACCAAACCAGACTTATCAGATATTTTCGTCAGAGAGAGAGAGAGAGAGAGAGACAGAGAGAGAGACAGACAGAGAGAGAGAGAGAGAGAGAGAGAGAGAGAGAGAGAGAGAGAGAGAGAGAGAGAGAATATATGAAAGACAAGGAAATAGAATTGAGCATAGCAGGCTGATTTGGAGGAGTACCAAGTAGGAAAAACATAACTGAATATGAGAACTTAAATATTAACACATAAGCAAGCTGCAAGAAAAAGTCACTGCATTATTGAAACGAAATTTACCCCTTTCCAAGATATACAAATGCATGAAGATGAATAGTTGCTATGTCATGCATTTTGTGAACTTCCTGTCTTTAGCCTCCTTGGTGCTCCTACGAGGACAGTTGTATTTACTGTGGAAACCGTGTACCATGGGGGAAGTGCCCTGACAGTTCTGGATAACTGCCTCCTGAAAAGGAAAATCAGTTGGCGGCTGTGTATTTTCACTCATGTGTGTGCACAGGCATGAGTGCCTTTAAAGTGTAATAATTTATCAAATGTTTTGTAATAGTCAAAACTGTATTTTAATTAGTTTTAGATCTTCATGAGGAAAATAATTAAAAAGAGCCTGATTCATCATCGACTAGAGGTAAAATACAGTTTGGGGGGTTCTGTATAATTTAAAATAAACTTCTTACATGTTATGTAAATAACTTACATGTTATGGGTTCCAGCTTGTTAAATTATATAAACATAAAATTGATTCTGCCTTTCACAGTGCGAATATCCCATGAAGTAAAGTTTAGCTTGGCTAATATTGCTATGGTACGTATTTAAACAAGACTACATCCAGAGCTTGAAATTACAAACTTAGACCACAAAGTATACTTGGAATCTATTAAGAAATAAAAATCATAAAGGCTTTTCCATTATAAAGTAGAAAATTCAAGCGTAAATGAATGAGAGCATATCTTGGATGACTGTAACCGTATTTCAATGCATTGTGAAATATTTGTAGGTGACATATACTTATGAAGGTAACTAAAATCTATGAGAAGAAAAGTACACAAAAATTTAAAGCATCATCTTATGAATAAATATTAGACTCCTATGAGGAAATCAGTAAAATATAGTTATTTACTACTTATTGCCACAAACTCCCTGCTTTATTAAATTCTTATCTATTCATTGTCTTATTAACACTGAGTCAAAGACGTACCACCACAAAAATAAACAATAATCCCAATACATTATTTCTTATTATTTTTGCATGTGAAAAATGTGAAGGCACTGCCATACAAACTTAAAACTGAAATGATTTACTAAATCACTAAGGAAAGAGCCACTGAAAGATCCTGTTCTACTTTTTTATACAAGTTAAGACCCTAAGTTTTCATAAGGTAACAGACAATGTTAGTTAAAAATAATTATAAAACCATCTGAACAAGTAAGTTCACATCTTGAAGAATGGTTTCCAGTCCTTTGTCCACTGGAGAAAACATCATTAATGAAACTGACACTAACATGCAGGTAAGAAGCAATAAAACAATCAGTGTTCAAAGCAGTCATCTGTAGATACTATCACTGTGAGTGTGGGTGTTTTGGATTTGAGTCAAACTACTACTAATGTGCTTTGGAGTCAAAAGTAACCCAGGACTTCCATAAGCAATCAACACCTTTCCAGTGGAGGGGAGCAAAACTATGAATCTCAGAGGATTCAAAGTGGTTTTGTAATTTTTCTCAGCTGTATTGAAATCGATTTCCCTGGAAAATTATCTGAGTGTAGCATGTTTAGTAATTTATAATATTTTCATACTGTTTATAAATATGTTTTAGTAAGCCACATAATAACTTGTCAGATATCTAGGTCTTATACAATTATATTCATTTTTAAAGAAGAAATTTAGGTCCAGATACTTGCATAAGCAAACAACTTGATACAATTCTCCTACTTTATATTCCAGGTACTAAAACATTTTTCTTCAAAAAGGTGGTGGTAGAAACATTCTATTGAATTCTATAATTTCAAGTCATACCCCGAAGTTAAAACAAATTAGAAAACTTGCCAAGGCAATTTAATTTTGAAAAGCACAAGAAACTAAATCTTCAAATAATCTTTTAATAGAATCTTTAACGTTACCTTACTTATCAGAAAATGTGAGGAAATGAGTGGTTTTCCCATAAATATATCTCAAAAAGTCTATCTTTGGGATATTAGGAATCTAACTGCATCTCAAGTTTCAGAGGAGGGATTTTTTTTGACATTTCCATGAACATAATTATGACCAGTTCTGATTTTGTTATAATAAAAGATAAATGGGGAAATGGAAAAAAGAACCAAGTTATATCATGTACAGGTGCAAATTCTCTGTGATGAATGTGATAACTCTGTGTACCTAAACTTTACCAATAAACTTAATTAATTTCAAAAAATGATAAATATAATAATATACTATAAACTGGAGAAGGCTGAGGAACAAAATCTAAAATGATTCACACTCTTAAAACTACAAGAGAAGATACAACATCATTTTAAATAGTCTTAGCCTGTTTTCTGCACCAATGTTTCTCAGGAACACTCTAATTAAACCTAATTTTGTTATAGTTGCACTAAAATAAAATGCATAACTATTTTATGGCATTGTAATTTATAACATTGACATTTCAGATCATTAAAGAGAACCAACAGCTGAAGTCATCATATGAGCTTAACCAACTTATTTTTGCTGTTGCTTTTTTCCCCTAGTCTTAACTTTTACATACTATTTTGCAAGTAATTTAAATTGTGGCATACATAGAATTCAGTTTAAAAAAATTTTTTTTTAAAATATGATCAGTGAGGATGTGTTGAAACCAAAAATCCAAAAGAAAGACCCCTACCAGTTGCCTTGGTTAATTGTCTCACCCCAACAGTGTCTGGCATTGTGAAGCATCAATCAGTCTTTGGAATTTTTCTACTCTGATTTACACTCATCCTTTGATTTACAAAAGAAAGACAAACCTCGACGGCCCGTCCCACTGTCCCTGCCTCAGAAATCCAGGCAAGGACAGGGATATAGAGCGGTAGGTTTTAAGGGCATTATCTTCCGCCTGTCTGAGTCCAGGGCTTTGCTCCGCATGATGGTGTCTTTCTAAAGAAGATAATGTCAACCTCCTTCATTTTTTTTTACCTTGCTCCACTGTCTTGACTGCTTTCTCTTCCTTCTTTCCAGGTGAAGCTGCAAAAAAAGATAAGCTTTCAAACAAGAGGACCAGTCAGAAAGTCTGTTTCTGCTAAAGAGCAGTTTGGAATTCATTTAATGCCAAATACTTCTAAACAGGATATTTTTAATGTTTTGTAAACTTTTCTCATCTCTCTATAATGCAATGGAAACCTGTTTTAAATCTAATCTTAGAGAATTAGAGAAAAACCAATAAACCTTTGCAATCTTCTGAGCGGTTTCTTCACCCTTTCCTGTTTTATTCCTTTAAATTCTACTTTGATAAACAAGCTCTACAGAGTTCTGCTTGACAGGGCTGTGATTAATCGACTTACATTCCAGGTTATTGCTGGAGTCAGTGCTTGCAAATGTCAACTAGATACGCCTCTAAATTAAAACTTAAACATAGCTTCACAATGGAAAGGACAAAGTCATCATGCCGGAGATACACCTAAATATTACGTGAATCCATGCCAAATCACAAGTACCAAAAGGCTATTAATAGACTCAGTTAAGTCCTAAATCCCCTCAGTTATGACTTCTCTAAGATTTGTGTCTTTCAGCTGAGGTTTAATTGTTTATATCTTTAAACAGCTAAACAGTAGAAATGATTCACATAAGGTCAGTACCCCTCACTGAAATAACTGGCTCAAGTAAGATTGCTTGGAGGTTATTACCAGTCATTAAATGAAGGATTGATGGACAAGTGAATATTGCTATCACGACCGAGAATCATGCCACAGAGTGACCAGAGAAGAAACAGAACTTCAAAACGAATCACTGCGGCTGTCATCAGTGAAACTCACAGGTGACATTTGGAACCTTTCATTCACGCTTGGGCATCTAGTTATCTTATGCTTCTTGCCCAGATGGTGTGCGGTGTGTACAGCAGCACCACTGAGGCTTATGCTAAAGTGTCTGCCTGGCGTTCAGTTCTGACAAAGACTAAGCTTTGAGCTTAATCGAGTACAGGACACGGAGAACGTGTTAAACCGTATTCTGGTGAAAAATCAAAATAATAAAAAATGTCTAAAGTAGTAAATGGCCCTCATATTTTCAAGGCACTGATATTATAAAGAAGGAAGGAGGAAAGGAGGAAAGGAGGAGGGAAGGGGGAAGAAAGGAAGGAGGAAAGAAGGCAGGAGGGATGGAAGGACAAAAGGAGGGAAGGAGAGTAGGTGGGAAGGAAAAAGGAAGGGAAGGGCAAGGGAAGGAGAAAAAGTAGACAGGGAAGAAGGGATTATGGAAAGAAAAGAAAAAGAAAGAAAGAAAGAAAGAAAGAAAGAAAGAAAGAAAGAAAGAAAGAAAGAAAGAAAGAAAGAAAGAAAGAAAAAGAAAGAAAGAAAGAAAGAAAGAAAGAAAGAAAAAGAAAGAAAGAAAGAAAGAAAGAAAGAAAGAAAAAGAAAGAAAGAAGTATAAGGACTAAGAAAGATGTGGCAAATTTCACCATTAACTACTAAAAAGTGATACAAAATTTGACTCTAACTGGTTACTAACAAATTTTGTATTTTAAGGAAAATAACCATGGATTATCCAAGTAATGACCCATAATAGAGCCAAGCCCATGACTGTGAAGTGAGTAAAGTATTCAATTAAACAGACAATCAAGATTTATGAGCTTCACAAATCTCATGGAAAGGGAGGCCTCGGAGAGCACACGTCGGTGAGAGCTGTACTTGTTTTTGCTGTGCTTGTTAAATCGTAGTCATTAGGCTAGGAGAGTGAGGGAGGAGGGAGATGCAGCTTCGCTGTTGACCTAATGGCAGGGTCCTAAGAAGTTCAAGGAGAGGAATTCCAGGAAATGAGTTACAGCCAGACAAGAACTGTGTAGTTAGCACTGAATTCCAAGTTCCCTTGAAGAGCAAGCACGTTGCACCTCTGCTAAGGGAATCGTGTATCTGAGAAGGTTAAGGGCTTGAGAGGGTACAGTTCAGTGTTGCCACTGAAGTGCTGCATGTGGGGATGGATGCACATTATGTAAACTTCAGCCTTGGTCTCTGAGTTAAAAGTGCAGATAGAGCTATTATAGTTGTGAGATGTAAAGAGATCAGTACCACTGCCTTAAACACAATCGTGCTTCCTGCACAGGCTAACTCCTATTCACTCTCCCAGTCTTACTCTGTATTCATCATTTTAAAATCAACTTCTATTTGAAAAAGAAAGAAAAACTGATTAAGCAAAATATAAAGAAGATTGTTTAGACAAAGCTAAATGGTGAGTAGTAAACTGAAAATAGATATCTGAAGAAATACTGAGACTTCATCTGACAGAGACAAAAGCATAGAAAACAGACACAAAGGAAATAAGTTCAGAAGAGAGAATGAGTTTTAATATAAATTTAATTTGATTTTTAAATAAAATAAGGAAATGAGGAAGAAGCAATATTTGAGGAGGAAATGGTTAAGACATCTCTATAATTACCAATACTAATAATCACATTCTGGAATAATAGGAAACTCAACTAATGCAAAAATGGTGTGACTAAATTCGTGTTTTTCTATCACACTACAACAACAAAAGAACTTTAAAAGGAACAATCCAATATTATCCCCTTGAAAAATTTTAGTCTCTAGTGAGTGTGTAGTAGTAATAAATTGTGGGCATAACTTGAAGTTTCTTGCTGTCCAGTGGTGATTTGCTTTTCCTATGCTCATTGTGGGTCTGTCAATTTTATTATTTTTATTGAGAATTGATGTTGGATTTCATTACACCCCTGTTCTATTTGATTTCTATTTTCTTAGCTCTGCTCTCCAATTTTCCATTTTGCTTCTACATTTTGGTGTTACTTTTTATATTTCAGAAAAAAAAGCTTGGTTTGTTAGATATTTGATTTTACTCTTTCTTCTTTTTAAATGAATTTCCACAATGCACGCATAAAATCTGTTCTCCACAATATTTAGCTACATCTCAAGTTTCAATGTCTTGTTTTCACGTGTTCAAAATCCCACTCCTGTTGTCCTCCTGTGAGCCTGGATATACTCAGAAAGATGTCCCTGACATTTAACACAGCACCTGACATTGATTCTGAACTAGTGAGGAAGCAATGTACACTTGTCAGATAATTTGATGTATGAACTCAAAGATGGGTTATGTTGATCCATATTCCAAGTTAACAAAGAAAGGAGTGAGTTTTGGGATGGTTTTCATGGAAGAGGAGAGATTGTAGATGAAGCTAATAGATATGAAGAAGTGAGAAGGGTTAGGTAAGCCCAGATGTTCCCAAGGAAGTTGAACAAGTTTATCTAGAAGACAGAGTTCTGCAGAGGAGAATGGATCATCTAAAATAGAGGCCAGGTGACGCAGGCACCATGAAAGGCAGATTAGAGTCAGACTTCATCCTGCATGTGTAAGGAGTGAGGGGGATGCATAGGACCTTTGTCTCTTCTCAGAATGTCCCCACTCAAATCACTATGGAGATAAAGCAGGCTGATCACTTGTACTATAATAGAATCACATGCATATTTATTCTCATTCAAATGTTCTTATTCAGAAAATCCACTAGAAAATATATATTTTTCAATTATTTTATTTGAAACCTCTGAAGATAAAATGTCTCAGAAAACAATTGGAAGTGACTTACTCCTGAAAATTAAATTTTCTTTTCAGCAATGGGCTGATAGTTCTAACATTCATACTAAATAAAGGAATCTAGTTTCCTAAAGCATTGTTTTTTATTACTCAGAAAAAAAAATCATTGAAGATACTGATTACCCACACAGAAAATATGCCACTTTACATTAAGGCTTAATCCTTTTATGTCTGATTCTAATGAAAAATTTATCAAGCCAAATTCTATGAAGAATAAACCTTAGGAATAAACACCTCATCTAAGCCAGTGGATTTTCTAACTGCAATAAAAAGACCTCAACCAAATGTTTCTTCTGTAACCCGGTACCTGAAACCTCCTTTGTCACTAAGAGAAGAAATTTTCTTTGCTCTCCATTTGAAGGAGTTTATTTCAGGTGGAGCAAAGCAAAGGAAAGCAGACTTGTACCGTACTGCTTCAGTGATTGCAGCCCATGTGAAAGAAATAAAGTGTAGACACTTGTGCTCTTCAAATGGAATACCTGGATTACGGGTAAGCGCAATCTAACCGGGAGGAGGAAAGGTTGGGTTTTGTAGTTCCTGCTCTGCAGTTTTATTGTTCTCCTAAATGATCCTTATGAATCCAGATTTCCCACACATTTTACATCTCTCCTTTCTTGCCTTCATGAACCATGAAGACTGACACAAGCCCGCTAGCAGCAGGGCTGGCACCTGTGCAGAAACCCACCCAGAGGTGCAGCTCTTCAGAACACCGAGGAGGGGATGGCGGTAAGGAAGAGTTATGCAGCAGAACTATCTCCTACACGGACTTCCACTCGCTGTTGGCGCACACCCACGTCCTTAGCATAAAGAGCTCTGAATGTGATAGATACAAGTATTTGTGTAACCCGTGCAGGTTTATTTTTATTGTTTAAAGGTAATATTTGGAAATGGCAAAGACTGAGACAATAGAAGAGTTAGAGAAAAAGTCTTAAATAAATTGTGTCCCTTAATATATATTATGGTGGTTTCCATAGATTCTCAATCTATGTATGAGGCCATTCTTCCTACTATCTACTTTTAAAAATCTTGCTTCTAGCCTTTTGCAGTTATGGACAATTGTACTGTTGTAGCACACACAACAGGCACATCTGGAGACCAGTGGGAAGTGATACAAGGCGGCACTTTCCAGGGGATGAGGAGAACAGTGAGGGCTCACAGTGGCTCCAGTAGATGCAAAGGAAGCTTGAGTTGCAATGGTACTCGTGCGAGGAACAAGAGAAAATATAGCAAAGAAATATTTAGAGTTTAAAATCATCAGAACTTTAACAGTCTTTGAACAATTAGGTAGCAGAGAATAAAAAGATCAAAGATCATCTCCAGTTGCTAATGAGGTGGAGGGGGAAGAGTAAAATGCAAGTTGGGAAGAAGAATCGAGGCGTTGGCTTCAGACAGGCTGGGTTCGAAGGTGTCTGCTGGGCAGTGGAACATAGAACCTGAAGTGCATGGAAAAGTTCTGAAGTGAAGATAGAATTGAGAATCTTCGGAAATGGGCAGAGCTTCAATCTTGAGAATAAATACATCTCACAAAGTGCGGTTAAAGAAAAGAAGGTCAGAGCTGGCTTTGGGATCTGGGGAACACCAGTAAGAAAGGGGAGGCAAGGTTAAAAAGAAAGTTCCAAGAAGATTAGAAATAAAGGCAGGCAATATGAGAGAACTAAGAATAGATTGTCACAGTGACCCAACATCAGAGGCATAACAAAGGGGCAATGGGGTGAAAGCCGTGGGACATTTTCGCTATGTCAGGAGTGAAATGGTTCTGCGGGTAGCAAGGACAGCAGCAGCAGCCAGAGCATCTGGGATAGGGATGGATGCCTCAGCTGGGCAGATGGGACTCTTCCTGAAAGGCTTCCTGCTCCTCGTACACATCTGGAAATTCTTAAAGCTTGCTTTGCCCTGTTACCAAGGGTCAACATATCTTCTCAATACTTTACCACATAACAGAACTGTCTCTATTATTTAAGGCTTTACTCTAAACTCACTGTGTGTACTAAACCCTTTGATTTCCCCAGGTAAGTATCATTTTTAATTACCTATGTCACTTTATTTAAATTTATCTAAATAATAATTTTCATCCTTGAAGTACAGTCATGTAGAAAGCTTTCTGTTTATAATGACAGATCATATTTGAGTCATTACTTAGTGACTCAATAAAGGTCACATTTTTCCAGTACTTTAATTACTTCAGAATATTCACTCATATAACTCACATCTTTCCTTGATTTTACATGTATTATGTTATCCACAAATATATGTTGAATGAAAGAAAAATGAATAGAAAACAGCAAAGTGCAGAACAAATAAATAATATCATATGGATAACCAAACACTATGTATTTCCAAAGTAAATATAAATTAAAAATAGCCTTAAGGTAATATAATTTATACTAGGTATGAATTAGTACAATGTAATTATGTTGAAATACAAATCATTGTTTAACTGATAATTTTTAAATCATCAAAAAATCAATATTTTCCATTTAGTATCAAACACAGTTCCTAGCTCAAGACTTAGAAGAACAATCTTCCAGTGTCTTGGATGGAAAAATATCCTCTATATTTTCTAATTCTTATGAAAGACTAGAAGATGGATATGTAGTAGTTTGCTAAGGGATGACTTTGGGGCTGGATAATAAATCCATGGTGAAAGTATTAATCTCAGCATGAATAGCTGAGAGAGAATACATCGGGAATGGACATAGTAGTGAGCACAAAAGTATCCTTTAATTTTTGTGGTCACTTGTCAAATTGGTAAATCCCACCTGAGTTTCAGAACATCTGTATAGTTTTGAAAGGAACACTTGGGTCTCTTCTCACTGTAGTGATAGGAAAAGGCAATATGTAGAAGCGGATTTAGCATAAGCATTGAGGTGTGAGGTATATACCATACAAGATTGACTGGAGACTAAGTTGTTGGTTCCAGTGTTTTAAGTTTACAAACAGACTGATTCTCTCCTTTCACTCCCTTGACAGAGCAAGGCAGCCTAACTAATCCCAACCTAAACATTTGGCAATTCTCTAAACTCAGGGTCCTTTCTTAGTTGAAGACTTAGGTGAGTTCAGTCATTTGATGGTTCAATTTCAATCTCATCTCATTCTTCACTCTAATTTGCCTTGACTGAACCCCAGAGTATGTGTAGATGTAGCTACACCCTGAACACCCAGGCTGCAAATGTTTCTGTCTGTGCGTGAATCAACTAGCAGGAGTTCAGTCTTTGGTTTTCAGTGTCTCCAGACTGGTTTCCACAATTATGGATTCCTAAGGCTCGGTGTCTTAAATCTAATCTCAGAAGAAAATTTTATACTATTGTTTGAACACTGTACTGGTTGTATCTCTGGCTACAAAGTTTGGGTACAATTTGGCCTTACTTTTGTTCTTGCTTTGAACTTATATGGATGACCTGGCTTTGAGTATGCCTCCTAGCTGACCATAGCAAGCATCTGTGGCTAGATTAATTACTATCTGGCCCCATGTTATGATCCTTAATTAGCCTTTTCCTAATACCATGGAATTAACCACTTTGAAGCAAGCAGATTTCATTCACTCTCCACTTGTACTTATGAGGAGTGTCAAATTCAGAAAATTACAGCACAACAGAAAATATATTAATATGAGCTTCTAATATATTTATGACTCTGCCACTTATGGTAAAATAATATCAATGACACATTTTATTGTGATCACTTATGTCCAAAATTATATCACAAATATTGGGTTATTAAGAAAGGAAATGACATGACAATGATTTTATTCTAATCTATATATCTTCAGAATAACAGAGGTTTTTTGAAAGAATGCACCCAGTAATTTGAATAACTCAGTTTATTCCAATATTACCTCACAGTACTATTTATATTTTACTTTAAGAATCCTTTAATCCTCATTATTTTTCCATATAAATGTACATTAAATAGTATAAATTCATATTTTTGTATATAATTTAGGACTGAGCAGGTGGGTAGCTGTCATATATATCTTACATCTTCCTACCATTCTGATATATATTTTCTTTTACAGCATATGCAGTGAAACAGTTTTTAAAAGAACATGTGAAGTCCTATTACTGGAATATGCATGAAAGAATGTATGTGTAGTTTCATCTGAGAGTATATGTTAAATATAGGCTTATTAATTTTTCTCTTTTTTACTATTTATTTATTTCTTTATTTTTGCCTTAATAGGAATTGAACCCAAGGCGTTTGCACTTAGCTACCCCTTCAGCCTTTGTTTCTGGATAAATACTGATCGAATCCAAACTTCCCCACGTTTCTTAAAGCAACATGACCCCAGTCACGTCTTACAGAATACGTTTCCTAATATCACAGTATTCTTCCACACAGTGAACATTTTCAAGAGAGTTTTGTTGGATGACTGGACTCCTGCTGAGTTTAAGCAGGTATATTTCTACAATTCTCCAACACCTAACTTACAATTTGACTGTTAATGCTCACATTAACTTATGGCCCTAAAGAAATAAAACTATTAGTACCAGAACACTAAAAGCAATGTCTTGTTAACATAAATACGACCAGTCTTGGGAGATTATTTTCATATCAGTGAAATAGTAAAATAATAAAGCACTACTCTAACACTGAACAACACATTAAGTTAGAAACTTCAGCATAGACATACTGCAGTCATGACATCCTTTCCTTTAGGCACATTTACCTTTTTTGGTGGACACAGCGGCTGCCTCTGCCTTGGTTCGTTCTGTTTCTGGAAGTTCAGATGGTAAAGGGGTGAGTAACGGGGTCAGAGATGCCGGAGCAATAGCATGCAGCACTGTAACTATTCTAACAAGAGGTCAGCCATGCACAGCACCTACGAGCAAAGCAGACGTGCAGAAAACTGAACTACAATGCATTTGTACTTTTCTAGTAAATTAACTTTTCTGTATAACAATATGGAAACTCTTCCAAAGTACAATTCTGTGACATTAAAATTGTACTTTTATCTAAGTAGTGACCATAAAAATGGTGATGTATCCCACAAAATGCACTATAGTAATGTACTAGTTTACAGTCAAATTTTGAATGATACATGAATTTTAGAGAAAAGTACCAGATAGTCTGTCTTTGTTCACTTAGTGTTTAATTACAAGGATGATGAACAGAATGTCCCCTCAGTCAGCAGGCTTTGCAGTGCACAAGATGAGCCATAATACTAAAGACACTTCCGCTTGAATGTTGCTACAAGAATGAGAAAGAAAATTAAAAAGGCCGAAAATGGCTTTGCAGGGTTTCTCTGAATATCCAGTGTGGAAGATAAGAGAACTATTCTGAAGACATAATTTCAAATCCTAGTCTTAGTATAAACTGTTAGATTTCAGCATTTTGAATTAAAGTTAGTCACAAGGAAAATTTTTATAGTCTACAGGAAAATGAGAGAAAAAAATTCCAAGGTGGTGAGCTTTCAAAAATCTTTATTTGCTCATTTTACAAATTTTTACAATGTTAATATTGTTCCTTTCAGGTTCTGGGGATCGAGCTCAGGGCCTTCGCATTGGGCTACATCCCCAGCCCTTTTTAGTTTTTGTTTTGAGACAGGGACCTGCTCCCTGGGTGGGAGTTCAGTCTTTGGCACTGCAGTCCTCCTGCCTTAGCATCCCAGAACACTGGGATTGCAAGCAGGCACCAACATGCTCAGCTAAAGTTTTTGTTATTTGAAGTTGTTTTTCTGGATCATAGATAGATAGGTAGATAGATAGATAGATAGATAGATAGATAGATAGATAGATAGATTATAGATAATAGATAGACAGACAGATAGATAGATGATAGATAGATAGGGTTTTTTTTTTTTCTTGTGAGAACTGGTAATACCATATCCCACTCAGCCATGTCCCCTTAGAAACTGACATTCTGGGTACAGCTAACCAGTGGGGACCTCTGCACTGTCCCTCTCCTAGTGCTGCAAGACCTTGGGCTCTGAGAGAGATGAGCAGTGGGAAAGAGGCCTTCACATCACTTTCAGGTTTTAATTCTGCAACATGGAACGCCACTTGAGCCATGTTTAAGCCTCGGCAAGAAGTTACTTAAGTACTTTCTTCCCAAGCTGTCTCAAAACTGGGAGTTCAGGGCCAAGCACTGCTCAGTGATTTCTCCCCTGCAGGTCGACTTAGATCAGAGGTTCTCTAACCCTGATGTGCAGCCAGTTGCCCTGGAGGACCAGGAAAACACTGATGCTGAGACTGGGGTCTGCTTCCATGACTGTGAGTAGGACCTGAGAATCCACATGTATAGCAGGTTCTCGGAAGATGTGTGTGCTGCTGATTTGGACAGAGTTTGGGAAGTGCAGGAGCAGATTTCCTCTGTAAGTCAAAGGACACCATCTCACTGCGGCACTCATCTGTCTTTGCTTTGCTTATAACTCTAAGTTCTAGTCAAATGGCAGAAACAGTTCATGCGGTTCTGCATTTCTTTGCAAAACTGGCCTCTTCCAAAGCCTCTCCCCTCTATATCCTCCCTTTTAGGATCTTTGCTTTACTCTCTCCCATAAGCTTATGAAGAGTCTTCTAAAATGGAGAAGATTGATTTTCCACAATATACAAAGAAATGAAGGCATCCAGTATTGCTTCACATTACTTTTCATCTGCTGTTATCTTCTTGCTTCCCCCAGTCCAAATGCTTTTGATGTACGTGCTGTCTAGCTGCGCCAGATTCTACCACTCTTTGCTGTATTGTAAAGCAGACTGTTGCATATTCTCTACTTTACTGAATAATTTTGTACATACTTGTATATCGATCTCCACTGCTGCTACTGTGGGATTTGATTAAGAATCACAACCTGCCTGCACAGTAGAATGAGCTGCGAAATCTTTGCACTGTGGCATTCAGCTCTCTGGGTGATCTGTAAAGCTGTGAGATTCTGAGTTAAAAAGTCTTGGGTGATCCCTGAAGCTTGGTTTATTTATAAGCTTTCCAAGTTGGCTGCAGCCTGGAAGCACTGTTCTGTGTAGTCCCTGCCACCTGTGAGCTCTCCCTTCTTCGACCTTCTTGTTTTAGGAAACAAGAAGCCCCATTTCTCCGGTCATTACTTCTGACACTCTTGGAGTTTTCCTTTACTGCCAAACTTTGATTTCAAAATCTCTACTCTCTGGTCCTACTGCTTCTCCCCAAAGCCCGGGTGCTCAAGAGCTCCTTCTTCACAGTGCCTGACCTCACCCCACTGCTGCTGTACTTTTGTTCCTTTGGTCTTACTGTATTCTCAGCACTCACAATCTTCCGTTTTTTTTTTGTTTTTTGTTTTTTTTTTTGGTTTTTCTCCGGTACCGGGAACCAAACTCACGACCTTGCGCTTGCCAGGCAGGCGCTTTTGCTGCTGAGCTAAATCCCCAGCCCCTCACAATCTTCCTAATGGCCGGCTTTATAAACAGAAGGGCCATGGTGAATCCATTCACTTATTTTCTATTTTTATAGTCAACTTCTGTATTCATTTCCCAGGGATACATTTAAGATGTTGGGTGGATAAGACTAAGAAAGATATTTTCTTTACAGTTCTGGATTCTAGAAGTTCAGAAGTAAGGTGTTGGCTGATCCCTCTGAACTCTCTCAGGAAAAACTTCCTTTGCCTCTTCCTAGCTTCTGGGGTTGCCAGCAATCCTGGAACTCCTTGGCTTGTGGTGGCAGCATCCCAGTGTCTACTTTCATGTCCAGACAGCTGTGTTCCCCCTGCACCTGTCTACAAGTCTCCAAGTTTTCCTCTTCTTGTGAGGAGAGTAGCACCCCTCTTCTGAGAGTGCTCAGCACTGGCTGGCAATACTCTTGCAGCTCTAGAATGTTGCTTTCCTATTCTCCTCAACATCGGGTTCACAAACTATGTTCCCTCCTCCACTTTACAGCATACTCCTCCCCTCTGGGCAGGCAGATACTGAGAGGGTCACGGTGAAAACAAGCGCAGAGAACCTGCAGACAAGCGCACCCTTCACGCCCATGTGCCATCTCCAGTTCCCGCACTGCCCTGCGCCCGGGGAACCCTCCGGAGAACTGCTTGCTACACTCGACGCAGGCACTCGGGCCCCTCACTCCCATCTTTCAGATTTTTTATTGTAAAAGGTATAATATAAATGTAAGGAGCAAAACACCTGTGTGCACGTCCATAAATGGCAATAAAGAATGTCTGTCCACGGGCATCCTCAGCAGACGCCGGGCACAGAAGAGCACCAAGGGCTTCAAAACCTCCAAGTTGTTCTAGTTCCGTTGTGTGTCTCTTCTCAGCTCAGAACTGTTGTCCTCAATTTTGTATTAACTATTTCTGGATATTTTGCTGAAGGCTGTATTTATTTTTTAACAAAGTTAAAATCCCTTTATATGAATTAGATTACATTAATAAAACCATTCTAGAAATTGATTTACGTTGTTTAATTCTTCTAGCTTTCTTCTTTCAAAATATTGTTTGAGACATCCTTATGTTGGTAGGAGTATTTTTAATTGCTGCATAGTAGTCTACTGTGTATGTATTCAATAAGGTATGTGTATGTCCCTTTATCAGTGGGTATTGGGTAATACGTATTTGATTTTGTGTCATAAACAATGCTGCCATATTTCCTCCAGTGCATGTTGCCTTGTGCACATGTGCAAGAACTTCTTTAGAAGTTAAAATTGCTGGGTCACAACATGTGCTCATGTTGGACTTCACTGAATAAATGTCATTTTCCCCCCAAAATTTATATTCACATAAGAGGTGCATGCAAGAGCTTCCATTGTGCCCTGTATCACTATCCTAAGAATGAGGGTGTTTCTATTAATCTGGTATATATGAAACAGGATTGTGTTGTAATTTTAAATAAACTTCCATCATTAACTAGAATTTGAATATATTTAGATATGTTTTCAGGCCATTTGTATTTTCTTTTCTTAAAGTTTCCTTATATATTTTCTTCATTTTCTATTCCTATTCCTCCATCAAATTTGTTATCTTAGAGTTATGTAGTTTTGTTACTAGTTTCTACTCGTCTGTATTACGAATACATTTGTCAAACGTGTAGCTTGCTCTTTACCTTGCTATAACCTGTCCATTGATGAATTAAAATTTTAATACAATAAAATACACCAGCTTTTTAATCAATGGCTGGAATTTCTCATACATAGTTTTTCAAAACTTCACAAATTCAAGATAAAGTAAAAATATATTTTCTACACTTTCAAAAAATAATGCCATGTTTTGCCTTTACTATTTTAGTCCATGTACCATCTGGAATTGATATTTTGGAATTGTAGAAAGTAGGGTTAAATTACAGTTTTTGTAATGAACTCTAACTACATCAGCAACATTTTAAAATAATCTCTTCATTCTGTGTATGAGCAACTAGTCTTTCTTATGTCGGATTTTTGGTCAAATGGGGTGTATTCTTAGATCTCTCTTTTTCCTGTTGTATTAGAAATTTTGTCTTTTTCTACACCAATGGCATACTACCTTTTAAAATACAATATCCAGAGGTTGTTTTATCACAAAGACTGATGACACAGTCCTAGTGTTTGAACAGTCATACTTTCCAGTGCTTTTCTGCTGTTTTATTTTTCTTTCTCAATACTGAAATCTCTTCCCTGTGCCTCCTTTGAAATCCATTTTGTTTCCTCATATGTAAATCAACCTTAGTTCCTACTTCTATTATTATTCATCTCTTTAATTTGTTTCTTTTTGAGCCAAACCTGGTGAACATTCCTGGACTCTGAGGCATAACAGTTTTCAATTTGAGGCTCGCATCAGGATGCTAAGTTTGGGTCTACACATAGTTTTCAACAACAAGCATCTTTTTCCATGACAGTTAACTCAGCCCCTCAGTACCTTATTTTCCGGGTATTTAAACCTCCTAAAAGCCTCTCTCTAGTACTACACCAATACAGTATTAACTATTTTCTGGCAGGAGCAACTGTGATGTAGACAGTGATCATATAAGTCATAATCTAGACTGAGCAAGGGAAAGGAGGTGCTGATAGCAGTTACTTGGAGCTGATTCACCAAAGCAGGATGATCCTCATCGTGATATGGCCATACGGGTGTGCAAGATATGATGTAGACATTCCAGCTGGATATCAGGTGTGCTCATTCTGGCCTGCAAGCCATGCTCCCTTGAGAAATGAAGTCCCTTGCCTCAATCTTTACCTTTGACCTTTACTACAGCCCTATTCACTGAGACAGGCAGAGCTGTCTGTATAAAAGCAGATGTCTCCTTAATTGGCAAAAAGAATGTGATCCAGTCTGGCCAAGGTGAGAATTATTTCCCCTGTTGATGGCTGGAATGGGTGCTCAAGCAAGACCCTGTGAAATCCCAGGGATAAGACATGGGATAACATTTCAACTGAGACCATGGAACTCAAAAAGAATTATAACTTCTTGACAGTAAATGTTCCAGCCTTGCATACATCAAGTTATCTGCTGCATCACTAATTGGAGGGCCTCTGTGCCTGGTATAAGAGTGCTCTGTGTCTCCTTATGTGTCACCTTGCAAAGTTTCTCTTCCCATGCACTCTGCTACTACTCCACCGCCCCCCTGATTGGTATCAATAAAAGGCCTGGGCACTCTGAATCTTGGCCCTTTGTTCCACTCAGAGGAATTGGTCACTGCAGAGCACTTTCAACTGCAAACCCCTCTCTGTCCTTTTTCATCTGTGTGCCACATTCCTGGGTGGGAGATGGAACCCTCCGCAGGGTTGTCGATACTATATACTTTTCTCCAGGAGTCTCTATGTTTCTATATTTCAGTTGAGTACAACAAAGTGCCATTTTGCCAATATACATTGTTCCAAAATATCCTGTTAATATTACATAACTATATACATTCAAGAGGACTTTATTCTTCAATTCTGCATACTGGTTTTCCCTGGAAGATCCTGGCATGCATCAGTAAATCAGCTAACTGATATCTGGCTTATTCAGTTAGACTCTGAAGTATAATTAAGGGGATACCCCTCAGGCTTGGTGCTTGAGTATGTCACCTCATGCAATGCTAAAATGAGAGGTAGAAAAATGACTTACTGCGGCCATTTAATACAAATTTAGGCCCATAATTAAAAATGACTAGACCTAGCCTTCATTCCAGGTTAACTTTCTGCCCCAAAGTAAAAGTGACCACAGGCTGCATGAATGTGAAAGTGGAAGATGGAAAATAGCCTTAAGAGTCTCCGGAGTGCACTTTGTTTGTAACTCTGTATTGTCTGTACTGTTCTTTTGCTATTTTGTAAAAGGTTGTCTGTGTGTTAATGTTTTCCTCCTTTTATTTTTAAAATTAAAAAAAAAAAAAGATTCTCCAGAGTGAGCCAACATGGGTAGTGCTGTCCAAGGTCCTGAAAACTTCGATTCACTGAGAGTTCACTGACAAACACGGGGAGGCGAGGGGAGCAAATCTATTTAGAAAATAATATCTCATATGTCCCTTTAAAGATTCACTACGGATGTTGTTAAATTCCTGGAATACTCTACACTCAAAATATCTGTTTATCTGACCTGTCCCGGTTTGGGACTGATTTATCGTATTGTCAACTTCTATGTTGCTACCGAGTGTGGGGCAGGTGCAGGCAGGAAATGACAGAGAATAATTAGCTATATTCAGGCATTCCATCATGACAGGAGAAAGAATAACTTCAGTGCCGAAAGGAAACAATAGTTCTTAGTTGGAGAAATAGTTGATAACAACGTTATTAGAGAATTAAACAGTTTATAGATTATTCCTAATTAATTTTCATGTTGAAGAACAATGTCCACTCCAAGCCCAAATGCTGAATTTCATAGAGAGCTGAATACTAACTCCTGAAACTTTTATACTGGGTTTAAATGATTTAGCAATTTGATTTGCTAATTTCCTCTAAAATATGTGATCTCTTCAACACTTGATTAGACCCTGTGTTTTGTAGAGGACAGAACTTACAGATTCTTTTTATTCCAGATGAATATTTTTATCCATATGTCACATTTTCCCAGAAAGAAAATGTTAATTTTTACAGTAACTTACTATCAAAATTCTCTACTAGTGCTGCAAAATTATCGTTTTGTTTTATACATTTTCTTGATTATGCATTTCTTCAGACTAAGTACTTGCATACTGAGCAATCCACCATATAGAATTCTAATTACATTTACATTCAATTTTAAAGCAAAATTTTTCATGGAACTATAAATGGAACTTTATGTGCATGCCAAGCCACTCTTTTAAAGTTCTCAATATCTATGTGAACAATTTCAACTCTAATAGGCTGTAAAAATTCCACCAAGCCACTTAATAAATTGTCTAATTATCATATAATATATTTAACATTGACACTAGTGTCTCAAAGAACCTAACATGAAATAAAACATGCATCTTTTCTTTATTAATACTGCAATCAATACTTATGTAGCTATAACCCAAAAGGAAAAGTTAAACACATTTGCTCCTGCATATAACCGAGATCTGACCATAAGTCCTACATGCAAAGCTTAAAAATTCATTATATCTTTTCTAAAATAAAATACTTGCCATTATGCTTGAATAATTTTTGTTAATGATAATCTCTCAGGTACTTCACCAGATTAAAAAAAAAAAACAAATAATGAAATCAGCATTTCTCTCTAAGCATGTTGTCAAGGCTATCCTTGACTTAAATGCCATCATAGTTATGGTTTTTAGCCAATATTTCACAGTTTGATCATATAAACCTGAAAAGGAAACTATGGCACTACAAGAGTAGTAGTTAATGAAATTTGGGGAAGGACACATTTTATTAAACACATAACTTTCCTGGTAGACAAATGATGTTGTCTACTGATTTCATTGTGATTAATCATTAGGATAATGAAATATTCCAATGGGGATATGTTTAAAGAACTAAGGAGATTGCTCCTTCCGCAAATTAGAAGACAAAATTATAAACAATCCATAAACAAAGTTATAACTGGGATCAATTAAAATTTACAAATGAAACATCCATGGGTAAATTTTCCTATGAATTAATTCACAAAAATACACAGACGAGTAATTTTGCATATTATTTCAATGCAGCAAATGCTATACAAGAAATATTTGAAAAGCTAGCATCAAAAATCAGTATTAGTAAAGTCTAAAGCAGAACATTCAAGTGAGTATGCTTTTAAAAAAATTACGCAGAACTTACTTGCTTTCACTTGCTTTTCACTTGGAGCTGTTAATAAGAAAGAACGAGCCCTGCATTAATCATAAGTCTACTTTAAACAAGATGTTCAAGGGTAATTTAGCTACTTGAAAGACCATGTGTGGTGTTGGAAAGTGAAGAACAGTTGATATGAAAGGAGATAATGAAGGCCTGCAGTTTCTCTTTGCTATACCCTGTATCTACTCCATGAACCACAGTTTTGGAGAGTCACTCTTCATGCATTTTATTCAAACACAAAACGCTGACTGACGATTCACTCATTCTGCTTTCCATTTCAAGTTACCTAAGAATCATGATTACTTCTTTATTCAGACAAATACATTTTCCTTAAATTTCAGAAAATGTATGAAAAGAATGAATTCAAGTGGTGAATAATTCAATTTTTCAAATACAACCAATTCTTTCTAAGTTACTGCACTGCACTCACATCCTGAGAGGAAAAGATGATTTCACACAGTTTAAATTAATATACTTTGTGATGTTCAGTATTAGACTGTAATATTTAGCTATTAAATCTCTTAAAACTGGTTACACCAGTAGTGATTTTGCATGCCTCTCCATGGTTCTACGACGAATTCTCTTCTTTAGCTTTTCGCCCCTGTGTGCACAGTGAGTATATGTTATGGGCACTGCATCAATGTATCCCTGAGCAAATTAGGCAGAACATTCCTAACCAAAGTTCAGCTAGCCTTGCTGTTACTGTGAAGGGTGAATTGTACAAGTCTGCTTCCAGAACATGGAAAGTACACAGAGGCCAGGGAAATTTCTTGCCCTTTGCTGCCCCTGTTTGCACACCTATGAGTGCAATGGCTGCTGCAGTAGTGAACAAGCCACCAGGTAGAAAGAGTCAGTGGCACCAGCCTCGCTCACCTGGCTGATCCTTCTTTGGTGGTTTTACTGTAACAAGGAAGAAAAAGAGGAAAGAGTCAGTATTTCGTACTATCCGTTCATAATTCGCTATTCAATTGTAAGTTAAATAAAATCACGCAATTAAGAAAGTAAAGAAAATGTAAAACCATTACCTGGCTCCACATGTTTTTCTTTCTTTTCCTGTTCTGAAACATATTATTGATGTTAGTATTATCATCATCATATGAATTTTACAAGTACACATATCAAAACTTCCCTGTTTTAACGAAAACAAACCCACATGCTCTGAGGCTGGATTGCAGCAATTCAAAAGCTGTCAGTAGAAGACCAAGATTGGATACTTAAAATAATTCTTCCTTTCCTTTTGCCTTGGGAGTTCCCTAATAGAACACCATCAAAATGTATTAATACTGGAGAAATTTTCATTTTTTTCATGGATAAGAGATCAGAAAAATAGGAAAACTCTTCTGAGTGGAAAAAAAAATGTGCTACTTTAAATCAATAATTAATTTGGAATGAAAAATAACACAAAGGATAATGACTAAAGTTATTTCAAAGTAATTCTCAGGAAGACAGAGATGGACCAATCTCATACGGAGTTCCTCTTCCAAGAACTTTCTTCCATTGAAGAGATATTTATTTAGCTAAGACAAAGGTTTTCTAAGGCAGATCAGAAACATTAAACCAAAGAAACAAAGGGAAAAACAAAGCATACCTGCGTTGTTTTTAGGACAAATGTTCTTTATGGAATCTTCTTTAGGTAGTGTTTCTTTTAAGAACTCACGTTAGTCAATATTGTTTGAAAGGAAGCATTATTCTAGCCTCAAGATGAAGCTAATATTTACAATGCAATCAGTATAATCTCCAATGAAGCATAAGGACTGATTTTATATAAAATGCTATTATCTGCATTTCTATTATTTATTTTGACTCAATAAGCTTTTAAGTTAAAAGAATATTTTCAAGAAATGCTATTATATAAGCATCACTAGCTGATAGCGTGAAGAAAAAGAATGGGGAGACTTCTTATACTCTCATTTAGTGAAAACTGGATGATGTTTAAGCTGAAAGAAATCTCTAAACTAGATTTTAGAAGTATAAAGTGTCACAGAATCTCCTGTGGTCATTGCATTGATCTCTGAATTTTATTTATCAGACTTCTAGTATAATAAAAGAACTTCTGCACCTTTAAGATAACATGCAGGGTTGGTAAGACAAAATAATCGCTTGACCAAATGTCGCAGGTGGAAAAAAGAATCTTAGCTAAAATTAGAAGTAAGCAAACATTGCTAAGTGTTATCTACCAAATGAGGAATAATTGAATATATGGTTCAAATACATACTGAGTGAAAAGCTTCAATTATAAAAACAATTCCTAAGTAATTTTTTAAAGGACTTGAGACGGGAATCTCACTCTGCTGCCCAGGCTGTCCTTGAACACCAGATCCTCCTGCCTCAGCCTCTGAAATTGCTGAGATTGCAGGCATGTGCCAGCCCATCTGGCGTTGCTTACAGATGCTTCTAAAGTAATGACAATTCTAAAGAAAGATAATGGAAATAAATTTTGGTGCATATCAAAACTAAGCATCAGCTGTATACGAGATTCAAAGTTAAAGGTGTCGCTAATTTATTAGAAGCCAAAGTGTAAGGAAAGCAGTACTTGTGCTATCTGCAGTAACGCCCGAGAAAAGTGACATGAGGGTGTTCACTATGTAGGACACCACGAGATCGAACAGTTCCATCATTTTATTCAACAGGCTACCAGTAAATTTCACAGCGACTGCCAGTTCGGACCTACGAGTGATTGCTTGAATTGTCTTTTTTGTACTTTCAAGTTTGAAGAAACTTATAGATTAAAGAAATTTGCAAAATATTTGAGAATTGCTTAAATACTTTTTCATCTGTGTCCCTTGCCATTATATACATATATCATAACTATGCTATATATGTGTGCATATACATATGTCATATATCATCCACGTTTGCAGTACAGAATCTCCATATTCTTTATGTGGATTTGGAACATGTGCACAACACATCTTCATTCCTTGGTCCATTCCCTCTCTCTCCTCTCCCTCCTACTCTTCATCTGCTTCCCCTTGGATAGAGATCTGTCTACCTACTTCCATTATCTCTCTTTTATTTCACTCTTTATTTATAATTCCTGTTTCTCATATAAGAAAAATATGTGATATTTAAGCTTGTGTCTGATTTATTTCATGTCACATTATGGTCTCAATTTACATTCATTTTCCTACAAATGACTCAGATTTATCTTTATTTATGACAGAGTACTGCTCCATTGTGTGTAAATACCACATGTCCTCTACCCAGTCACTACTGATGAACAGACAGGCATCTTCCAAGACTTAGCTACTGTAATGATGCCATGTGTATCCCTGGAGCCTGATGTCTTTAACTATGGGAGAAAGATACCTAGAAAGAGAACAGCTGAGTCATATGGAATTTCTAGTTTTACCCTTTTGCACAACCTGCATACTGATTTCCATAGTGGTTGTACTTGGAAACGGGAAAAAGAACAATCTTTTAAGTCATGATAACTAAAAAGCAGAAGGAAAACATAAGGTAGTGATGTGGAATGACAGGCAGTGATCTCCAAGGCAGAAATACCAAACAAATCCAAAAACACAAGAAAAGTAACACAAATCAGTGCAGTTAACAAATCAGAGTGACAGAACTAACAGGGAAAGAATTAACATTTGCTTCGAAGAAAATTGGTTCTTCTCTGGTCTCTGCCTAAGCATACTCCACAGAGCATCTCAAGGAGGAGACAGCTGGGTCGTAAGGAGAGCCTGAGAATACATGCACACTTATTAAGTGCATCAGTGCCCTGAAGATTGCTAAAGAGCTGTGCAGTGTGTCTGCAGGAACCACCAAATCGTATAAACTGCAATAAACGGAGGGCCTTCAGGTTATAGATCTATTATTTAATAGCATTTTTCAAATCTCCAGTCGTCCTCCACTTGCCTGCTGGTACAAGCGTTTATGCGGTGCCCGCACCCATCCGTGGCTGTGCTCACGCATAAATCTGGGGCTCAGCGAACATATCCTTCTCCACAGATAAATTGCTCCCTCTGGCTGGCTGCTAGCACAATTTCAGGATTTTTTTCCACAGGACATTTTATAGCACTTTTATGGCACAGAATATCTCAAGGTCTTAACTTTTTGTAGAGCCGAAGCATACATAAACATTTTTAAAAACTGGTGGATACTTTAAACCAAATGTCTTTAACACCACTAGGAACTTAAAAATCTCCAAGTTCTGGAAATGCTCCATTTTAATGGCTAGTGGAGTAAGGATAAATTGTTTACTTTCTTACAATTTACGTTTGTTAAATAGATCCCATTTGTTTGTTACAAGGAGAGTACGCGTTTGTAAACACCACAACCTCAAGGCACTTGGTTTTACTAAATTGCTGGCAAACATGTTTAACAATGTGTCAAAGCCTAGATGTGGATTCTATGCAGTGTTATTACACAGAGCTTAGTCTTTACAGAGAAAAGTCATGCTAGAGAAAAAATGTCATATATCATGTGAATATGTCAAAGTATCTATAAAATTTAGGAAGGAGGACTATAGGAAAGAGAGTGGAACTAACCGAGAAAGTACTTTGTGTATATTTTGTAAGAACTGAGAACTACCTGGGTCGCAAGGACTCCATTTACACAAACAGAAGACCTAACGGAGCACAGTTACGTTTGTTGTTATGAGCCTGTGGAAGGCATTATTAGACGCTTGCATGAGCTATGAAAGGGGCTTTAACAAGGCATGCTTCCCTCCGGCTATTCTGACCTGGGGAGTTCTATATTCTTCATTCTGACAAAACAATAAGAAACAGACTCCACATGCATAAAACATAGGAAAAAGAGATTCAGAGCTGCAGCCCTAAATAAACCAGGAGACCAGTAATAGTGTTAGAGAGCAAAAGTGTCCACAAACCGGCTTTGCATGCATTTCTTACTTTTTCCCTTGGGTTGCTCTGCTGAAAGAAATGCAAACAGAAAACCATTGCTCTCTAAAGACTTAGAAATAAAACTTGCTGCTTATACTTGGATTAGACTGCAAGCTTTCTACACTCTCATTGTGTTTTCCCTGTACAGTCAGTATGGCTCTGACCTACTGCACTACCGGGTATTATAGACAGATTCATAACTGGATGGAGACACATTATCTGACAAGGAATTGAGCTGAAATTGGACTTTTGACCATTGTAAATTGTTTACAGGTGGTGATCTTAAACGAACACAGTCCAGCAGCTTAACACTTTATTTGCGCAGAAAATTGTGAACAAGTGCAGAACACAGTCTGTACCTGCCAAGTGGGTTAGGATTCCATTTGGGATTTTAAAAACCACTTCAGTTCCTAATTGATGCTGGTACATCCAAACTTAATTAAGTGTATTTGATTTAGTAATGTAAGTAGTTAGCATTGTTCTATTGCTTATAAAACAAACATTTCTTTGAAAGCAATGTACTGTGAAAGGTAAAAGAATGCAGTAATTTTTACTGCAATCCAATATTTTTGATAACAATATCATCAGAAAAAATTTGACACTCCTTTTTCATCTGTCCCATATATAGATTTTCTTTTACGCTAATCCTTTAAGAAAAATACTACTTGAGGGCTTATCACACACAAGACAGAAAAAGAAAATATTTCCAGTACCTTCTGTAGGTGTTTTTATTTTCTTGGAATCTGAAAATACAAAGATAAATTACTGATAAAACAGATATGATAAATCAACAACTGAATATCTCATAAAAAATTTCCATAAACACTAAGGTAATTTTCAACAAAATGGATTATCTATATGAAATATTTCTAAAACATAAAGCCTAAGAGAAACTACAATTTGCAAAAGGATGAGTTTCTAAATGAGACCAGAAGTGGAAATTTTTTGAAGTATGAAACATAAAAAATGTAAGAAAATATACACACATAATTTGCATAGAGATCTTGTCATGCCTACACAGTCATTAACTTTTAATAACAAGTCAAACTGAGCAAATCTACGCCGTGCTGCTGTAAAGATGACTGCTGTCCAGGAAGTTAGCTCGAGTGCCACCATTGTGCTTCCTTTGAGCAATCAATATGCTTCCAATAAACATATTTAACTCCTCTGACTATAATGAAAAAAGATTAGTTTTGTGTTGCTCTCATGGGCTACTGACAAACACATTATATTTATAACTACTCAGAAGGAATGTGCATTAAATTGTCAACTGATACCCATTTTATGCCTAATAGAGGGACATTCAGCTAAGATCTGATAAATTTATTATTTTTTGTTATTGAGGCATAAGCTTTCTAGCACTTGAAAATGAAAACAAGAGGTTTTGTCTTTAAGAAAAACTTACTTATTTTACAATGGAAGTGTCTTAGCTGAAGTTCTTTCTTAAAATATTTTATTTATTTCCTCAGTCTTTTTCTATCTTCTGTAACTTCATTTTGAAATTGGAATCATAATAGTGAACTACCTATTGATATTTACAAAGGGTAGACAATTTGTTTTCTGGCTGACAATTGTCTGGCTCAGGACTTAGAACAGTAGATGCTCACTAATAATTTCCAAGTTAAGGGCCTTGCGTGCTGTATAGTGTTGTGGTGGTATCCTTACCACATTTCCATGATGTAGAAGTGGACAAAGTGCATGGAAATGACTGTCTATTCTCAACAGGCAGTTAGATGGCCAACAGAGAGATCTTATGAAAATAATGACCAGGGCCTATAACAGTGTGAGAGTAACAGTCCATTTTCATAGGATTGTAAGCTGGAAATATATTTTACCAGAGCAACCCGGGAAATAATCTAGACCATTATAAAAATCAGCATGCCTTCTGATGTAGTAATTCCATTTCTAGCAATCCAAAGAGAAAAATGCACAATTTTAAATGTATAATTTACCCATGACATTGTTTCATTCTTCTAATTGATGGGAATATTAAATAATATAGTCTGAACAGTAGGAAATTATTGAAAAATTTGTTGTATATCCACTCAATAGAAAAGTACAGTCATTAGAGTCATATTTTTGCAAATTATTTCACAATCTGGGAAACTAATAGATAAATAACTAGGTATTGGTGTAGGGTAAGTTGGAAAACTCAATATAATATGTGTATCTATGGAGCGCTTGCTATTTTCAATCTTCCCTCGTTTTTAGTAATAAAGTCAGTAATAGAGTACATATCAATTGTACTGAGATGAAAAAGTAAAACATATTGTGAAGTCCAGGGTCGGATAGATAATTGTATTTGTTAGGATAAGTAAAACATTTCATAAAATAGAAATGTACAAAACAACAAACCATGATCTAACCCAGTAGGTTTTTTTAATAGTTTAATATATTTAAGAACAGGAAGTCATATTAAAATTTACTTAGAATGTCCTCATGAAGGCATAACATTTCATTAAGAATCAGCTCCACAGGCATAAGAAAATATCTAAGCAACTGAAAATACAGTACTTGGAATCAAAAGCTCACACTTTGACCTTGAAAGGCTAACAATACTTCCATTAATAGTCCTGGTGTTGAACTTCATTATGCCAGTGACACTCTGTGCTGAAATAGCTTAAGGGTTATGAAGGTTTGCTTGGTGAACATAGCTCCCTCAATACTATCTACCCAACAGTCAGAGGAAGTCTTATTAGGAATACTGGGTATCTTAGCACTTGTGTTTTGAAAACAGTCGTGTGTCCACAGTCTGTTCAATCTGTCACTCGCCCATCTTCTGCACTGTATTAGGTATGGTCTATTCATTCATAATGTGGGGGGAGAGGAAGATGAAGTAGCACTTCATCTCGAGGGAAAAAGTAGCTCTTTGATAGGCTAGTAATGCTGGTCATGAAATGACCCCTGTCCTCCGTGAAGCCTGCCTGGTTGACATCTTTCTTCAGTTATAATGCCAGATATCCCCACTCCCTGCCACTTTTTTTCTTGCACTGTGATTCCTCCTGAAGTCTCATTTCTAAAGGATTAGAACTGGGGAATAATCCCCACATGTACTGACTCTACTAGTATTAGTTGCAGCAAACAGTTAAGTCTCATGTGTCTAGCTCTTAGTGGAGTTCTGTCCTTCAGCAGATAAACAGAAATTCTTAGAATTCTACTTCCAAAGAGCTCACCAATTAAGCTTAGATTAAATGGAAGAGCTCTACCTAGATGGACTATTCTTATGCATGTATTAGTACCATATACTCTTAAGATCAAAACAACCAATAGTTGGTTAGGACTCCTTAAACCTAAAAGGTTTACCAGAGTGTATCATCATCAAATAATAATAATAGTAATAATAATAATAATAATAAATCTTATATAGAATGTGAGAAAATTGATGCCCGTTCATATTTATCATAGCTGTTACATTTGTCTTAAGAGTCCTAAATATTGCTGATATACAGAGTGTACACTTGTAAAGCAATGCACAGTTGAAGGCACGGTGTTAGTCCCTAAAAAGGATAATCATGAACTGGCTCAAAAGACGTAAGTCAATTGGTGTAAAAGGAAAATGAGAACAACCAACACAAAGTACAAAGCTGCAAGAAATGAGCAATAATAGAGAGATTCAGATAAACTGTGATGGAATACTGCACGTGATAGAAAGTGTTTTGAATGGGGAGGGTCGGACGTGTGAGGGATGAGAAGTTCTCCTGAACCCTCAAAGACTGCACATCCATTGAGCAGGAAAAGGTAAGTTCTGTGAGGACAACAAGAATAGAGGAAGGACAGTGCATTTTATATGCAATAGAAAGTAGCTTGGTAGAGAGTAGCACGTAAGGGAAGATTGAGGAAAGTACAGGGAATAGCCCGACCATGGCGTCCCCTGACCTTGTCACACAAGCCACAGAGGCATGTTTTGAGATGCACCTAACTGGAATTACAGCAGGGTGCTCATGACCCTTGAGGACCAGGAGCTTGGGGACCTGAGGGGCTGTGGACACCATCCTGAGCTCTCCCTGAGGAGTGTGAAGGAAGACACGAGTCCTGTGGGGTGGAGTTGCACACCATGGAATATTATGGCCACAGTCCGGCAGTGGTTTCTCAGCAAGGAAGTGACCCCACTTCATGTTAATCTGGCCCCATGATTTCGGTTTATCCTTTAGGTGGTTGGACAAGGACCACAGAGAGCTGGCACTTTTTGTACTCTTCCTTTTCTGGCTGGCAGTAATTTATTATTACCTCAGTCTCAAAGGTGCTTCTTGCAACTTTACTGCTGGAAATATTCAGGCCTTGGTGTTGAGCTTGCCCAGACGTGTGCCTGGCAGGAGGTCAGGACTGGCAAGTGAGAAACAACAGAGACTTCTACTGCAGGTTAAGACCTGTCGTCTATTTGGTGGTCATTGTGAAGTCACTCCATAGTTTAAATAGTTAGTGATATACGAAGTTTAGTGAATACAACTGATCAGTTTACACAGATAATATTATAAGCAGGATAGCCCTTTCCATCAAAGAGTTCCAAACATTTTTATCTCAGGGCTCCAAAAGTCTTAGCAATTATTAAGGCTTCTTATAAGGGATTGTTATTAAAGCTTACTAAGGACTTCAAAAAGCTTTTATTTACTTTTCATTGTGTTTGTAATTTCAAACATTAAAGCCAATTTAAAAAAAAAATATACATCATTTATTCATTTGTTAGAAATAGTAAGCCTGTTATATATTCACGTAGGTGACATATTCTTATAACAAATCCATTTCCCAATACAAAAAATATTGGGTGACATGATTGAATTCTTTGTACACCTTTGTGAATCTATTCATATCTGGCTTAATTAGAAGCAGTGGAATTTGCATATCGACTTGGGGAGTTCGTCTGCTGCAATACATACATCATTTAGCCTCTGCAAAACTCCAGTGCATTCATGTGAGAAGGAGAGTGAAAAACACAAGTGGCAACTTTCTATTTTTTACAAAAATAGCATTGACCTTGAAGAAGCATTGGAAGGGATGCAGCAACTCCAGGGCTGGCTGATCATATCTGAAAGTGTCTGATTTGGGGGGTCACTGCCATGGTTAACATGAGAAATGAGTAAGACCAATATGGGGTCACAAATGTCAATGTCAGGTCACAACTTGAGAACAAGGGTCTTTAATGAAGATTGGTTTTTCTAATTACTTGTGGAAGAATTAAGCAAAAGAGAGTTCAGCCACAGTAAAAATTTTGGAAGACTAAATTCCAGGAGCAAGTAGGAAGGAGCTAGGGTTAAAGCTTAGCCCAGAATTTGAATACTGGTATCCAGACAGACAGTTTTACATATCCTTAGTATTCACAGACACTGCATCACTTGACTATCCACAGACAAACTCTGCCCCAGCTTTGTCATGTACTATGTATTGGCGATACACTTTCTCAACAATTTGAAATGAGGTATAAAGCCAAGGAAAACAGGGGCTGGGGATTTAGCTCAGCGGCACAGCGCCTGCCTGGCAAGCGCAATGTCGAGAGGTTGATTCCCAGTATCGGAAAAAAAACAAAAATAAAGCCAAGAAAAACAGAACTAAAGAATCCCAGAGGCAGAATAATAGAAGGAAACAAATACAAACCTAAAGCTATGAAATTGTCCTTTGACTCCTATTTCATAGGCCTAAAATTCTTTTACTACTTTGCCTTGGATGAATAAAAAAAAATTCATGTTACTACTTTATCTCAATCAAGTGATAGATTGTTTTTTATTCTTAACTGGAAATGGTGGAGGAA